AATTGTCATTATATATATATATACAATATTGTCAAATAATATATAATATGCTATATCTTATATATAACTATATACTTCCAGGCATTTTTGGTGGTGCAGAAGATAGAATTCATGGGCTCATGCATACTAGCAGACTGCTGTGCCATAGAGCTACACCCTGATCCCTAATATAGTTTTAAATGGCAATGCTATTACAGGACAAGAATTTTATTTTTAGAAAAGAGTTGAAAGACTAATGCCTACAAAGAAAGTTGAAGTTATCCATTAATACCACATGGGATGGTTTCCTAATTATAAGTATTTTTGGTTGAACACCACCAAGACTTAGTGGCTTAATTCTATAGGGAATTATTTTTCTTGCAAGTAGAAATGGATGGCATTAGGTGTCTCTGTTCTTGCTTCTAGTTTTCAGGGGTTTGGTGAAAGATCTGGGCGGTCTGGACTGGGGATGTATGTTAGTGGTAGAGGAAATGCTTTTGCTTATGTGAGACCCTGGATCCATCCTTATCACCATGAAAAGGAAAGGAATATTTAAGTTGCTCCTAGCTTTCCATGTACTCATCAGCATGTCAATTTTTTAGATTACTTTCATGATTGCAAAGTGGCCCCCAGAGCTCCAGACATCACAACCTTGTTCAAGGGAAGAGAATGTGGGATGGAGTAGAAGCAGCCAACTCTTCCTTCATAGTTCTCTCTTAACAAGAAACAAAAGCTTTCCCAGCACCTCCGCACAAGTTTTCTTTCCACTTAGTTAGAACAAATAACATGGCCACGCCTTCTTACAATGAATCTGAGAAGCCATTTTTTAGATAGAATAGGAATTATAAAGAGTAAAGTGGTTGGAAAGGGCTTTTGCCTTTGCCAGCAAGCCTTGCTACACTGGAGACAATCAGCTAATATTTTCATATTTGTACTTCTTGTCTCTGCTAATATATTTATGTCCTCATACTCATGAGCTCCAGGCCTCTGAAGGTATGACCTTGGGATTAGCCTCTGACTCTGAAGAAATTCCATTTTCTCTCTTCCAGAGTTAAAGTGCTTGCTTGCTTTCAAGCCTACTATTATGGAGCAATGTGTGAGCAGTGCAGGTGCCGTCAGGAACCAACTCTGAAATCTTCTCTTCCTGGCTTCTCGTGGAAAAGCAAGGTCCTGCCAGCTCCAAAATTCTGCGGACGGTTCAGAGCACGGGTGGGTAGGGGTCAGGGCTTCACGCACTGGAGAGAAACAAAGGTTTCTTCGCCAAGTTACTGTTTTCATCTTCCGCAGTTTGCAACTCTCTGAATTTCCAGAGTTCTTGAAAATAGCATATCCCGGTTCACGTTGGCATGACCGAAAACACATGGCCGCCACTCTGTATCTCCCTTCCCTCGTGGGCGCCTGGTCCCAGCTGTGCCCTCTAGCACAATTGTGTCACTGACACAGAAAAGGTCTCAATAAATGATCTGTCATCTGCCTGAGTGAGTTATTGTCAAACAAAGACACTTCCTGTCTTTGAAGAAACGATCAGGAATATGTTAAAGAAGTCTGGGGAAGCCAATGACTTACATAGATGTAAACTCCCTTGGAGAATCACCTGAAAGGATTACACTGATAAGGGGAACCCTTCCTGGAGCAGACTGCAAGCACTTCCTGTATCGCTGAAACACTCAGGGACGATGTCCTTTGGAAAATGCTCTGGTTTCCATGGAGTTTTCAGGTAACCGACACTATCCCTATGTTTTCAGAATTTGGCTATGACTTGGGTAGGCTTTGCGGTGCCCACACCCTTCCCTGTACTTTTTCTCCTACTTTGACTCTGAGCTTGGACTTCTGCTGCTTTGACCACTGCTTTGACCAGTGTTAGCAAGTGAGGTTCAACAGAAATTCAAAGTTGGTGCCGTTTCCTTCTTGCCGCCGAAATGCTGAAGTTTGCTCACGCTTGCTTCCTTACCTCCGCCCTGAGAATATGCCCAGGCTCACCCGTGAGAAGTGTCAAGGAGCACATGGAGGAGGAGGGGGAGTTCCAGTTATGCAATTGTGGCTGTCTCAACGCGCCACTTTGTCAACATGGAGTTGATTGTCATCCCACCGGGGAGCTCAGCTAGCATCAGCAGACCCAGGGAGCTGCCTCATGAGCACCAGGAACTCAGGAGCAACAGTAGCATACCACTCTTTCAAGACAGTTTCCATGAGCGCTTATTAGGAGGCATCATATGTGTGAAATCCTAAGGGATACAACAACCAATAAATTGTCAGTGTTTTGCATTGGGCCAAAACAATTCAAATGGGCCAGAGAGATAGCTCAGCGGCACAGCACCTGCCTGGCAAGCACAAGATCCTGAGTTCAATTCCCAGTAAAAAAAAAAAAAAAAAAAAAGAAAAAAGGGCATTAAAAACACCCAAGAAAATTACTTGGGTCTTCATTTCTTCTGATATGTCACAATCATAAATTCTGTATTACTAAAATAGTGTCCTTTGTGATAGAGGAGCTGCAGGTGGCTTAGTCTAAGTCTACTTAGTGTTATGAACTGATCTAAAACATAATCAATCACCTTAAGGATCTGCATATTTGGAAGGTAAGTGGATAAGCTGTGACTTTCATTTATTTTTAAGGAAACAATTATTTTTTGAAATATTTCCTTGTGTGGATGTATGGCACGTGGTGTGGTCATATGACCCACGTTTACCATGTGTAATGACCCAATCAGAGTACTTAGTACCTCCCTCCTCCTGAATGTTTAAACACATTTACCAGCACATAACAGCTGTACACACTGATAGGGTGCAGTGCAGTATTTCAAAACTTGTGTACAATATGTATTGAACAGATGAGGGTAATGAATGCATTCATTTAACCACTACTTTGTGTGTAGTGTTTTCAAGCTTGTCTCTTTTAATTATTCAGAAAATATGTAGCCGACGATGGTGAGCTATAGTCACCACCCCACCCCCACCCCACCCCCTGCTTCAGGTGCGAAAATTTGTTATTTGTGTAATTTGGGACCCTGTTATTCAGTTTCTCTTTGTTACCCTCTTTTCTCCTTCCAAGTCTGTACAAATCACTATTCTATCCTCTGACTTTTTTAAACTTCCATGTCTAAGAGAAAGCTTGCCTTATTTCTCTCTGAATGTGTATTTGTTTAAACATAATGACCTTCAGCTCCTTATACATTGTTCAAAATGGCAGGATATCATTATTTTTCATAGCTAAATAATATACCATTGTGTACATGTACCGTGTTTCCAATCAACCCACAGGTCCATCAGTGGATGAATGAATAAATGCTTTTTACTATAAATATCAATCTTGGTAGATCCCTTTCACCCTTGTTATCTCATTTAACACCACTAGAGGGGAAAGAAAGACAAAAGCAGCATGGTTTCTAAAACCTGATCAAAACAATGTGGGATGACTTTCCTTCTTAACCCAAATAATTTGTGGCATCTAAGAAAACCATGGAACCAGTTAGTAAAGAAAAGCTTATTGAGCACCTGAACTGTGTTATCCCCCAGAACATTAAACTATTGAAAAGTTGAAAACGCTTGTAGAACTCAAAGCAATGTATCTTCAGGATTTTTTGTTTGTTTGGTCGGTTTTTTTGGGGGGGTTGGTACATGTTTGCTTACATCATGGCTCTGTTTGCTGTGGGGAGTGGGTACGTGGACATAGCAGATCTCAGTTCTTTTCTCATCCCCTTTCACCGTCCTCCCTCCATCTCTTGATCCCCTTCCCATTTGTAGAAGATCTCCCTACTTCCTACTATCTATCTTGTATTTCACTTTTTTTAATATTTTAGATTTATCACTAAGAAGGAACCATACAATATTAAAATGTGTGTCTGATTTATTTAACTTTAAATTTAAACATTTAACGTAAACCCAAATTAGAATTATAACAAAGTTACTTTCTTGATTTTCAAACTATCTTTATTAGTCCATATTGCTTACAAAGTATTGAGTGTTTTTGTGGCGTTTCTATTCATGTCCATAGCATACTTCTCTCATAGGCATTTCCCAGTTATGCTCTTTTATGCCCCCTTCGTATCTGCCTTATTCTACCCTCTTGTATAACAATAGTTTCTCTTCTAATTTCATGTCATGTGTTTTATGTTTCACACACTAAAGAAAACATTCGAATTCTTTCTGAATCTGGCTCGTTTTCTTCAACAATGATCTCTATTAATTTTCCTAAAAGTGACATTATTTTACTCGTCTTTATGGCTTTATGATACTTCATTATTTATGCATTCACAATGTATCCGTTCTTCCTTTGATGGACACCTAGGCCAGCCCTGTATCTTGGTTACTGTAAGTTCTGCTACACTAAACATGGGCATGCAGGCATCCATAGAGCTTGTAGAACTCAAAACAATGCATGTTAAACATTTCAGAATACTCCAAGGAGCAGTGCAGCCTGCTCCTGCCTGTGTAGGACTTTAAATGTCCCTTGTGCCTGGATCACCATATGTTCCCAAGGATTTGTGAAGGTTTCTGCTATTATTTCATTGAATTGACTTTCTGTGCTTTTCAGCTTTACCTTGCTGCCCTCATCAACACCCAAAACTCATATTTGTTCCTTTAATGATGTCTTGACTTCTTTTCCTGGTGCTGAGAAAAAAAATATAGGACAGTAAAAGTTAAGGGTAGAAAAGTTTATTGTAAGTCAGAGTTTGTAGAGGTTTCAGTCCATAGTCGACTGGCTCCAAGGCAGGGTGGCGCGGCAGAGGGGCATCTCAAAGGAGAAACGGTTCACGGCAGGAAGAAGGCACCCCTTCTAGTATAATCTTTTGTGACTACTATGATCTGTGTGATTTGTGATGGCCAAATGCTATCTGGCACGAGACTGCAATAATATTAATAATAGAAGAGCATAGAATTATTGCTTTTGGAAACATAACCCAAAGGCACGGCTGCGGGAGGTTTTGCAAATCATGCCATTGTATATAAAAGCACTTTCAAAGGAAGTGAAGAAAAACAATGTCGTGTTAAGGTGCAGCAGATCTCACCGTGCTCGTTCCTGGGTGTTTTCAATCACCAAACATTAACCAAGCAACTACCTTGAGCATGATGGAAGAAAGATGTTTAACCCATGGCAGCTAGCAAGGAGACAGAGGGAAGCAGAGAGAGAGACAGAGACAGAGACAGAGACAGAGAGACACAGAGACAGACAGAGAGATACAGAAAGACAGAGAGAGAGAATCAGAGAGATTTCAGAGAAAGAGAGAATCAGTGAGAAAGAGTTATAGAGATAGAGACAGAGACAGAGACAGAAGAGCTGAGGCTAAGAATCCACCCCTCCAGGTTACACTCCCAGTGACCTACCTTCAAACAGATCCCCCCCTCCTAACAGCATACTTAGCTACTAAGCTCATCAGTGGATGACCCCACTGATGAGTAGAGAATCCTCGATATCCAGTGAATGTCCAAACACATGAGACTTTTGTAGGCCCTTTTAGATCTCAACCACAGCGCAGACAAGGAACTCATAGGATAGGTGCAGACACGACCCATGAAATTCTGGCGGTGGTCCAACAAGATGAGTGTTAATGATTGCAAACTTTAAGCAGAATGGAGTGGATGGGTCAAGTCAGGGAGGCAACTAGGTGGCTTAGAACTAACAAGTTCATCGTCCTCTCAGAGGAAAGCTTTCCGATGAGAGCTGGAAAGGTTTTCGTTATTCACCGGTCAGTGAATGGACACTTCAGGTATTTCCATTTCTTGACTGTTATGAATGTGGGAATAAGGGGCCACCCAAGCCCTTTGGAGTTTGTGTCTTACCACAGCCTACCTCAGTGCTGACACGGAGCGGCTGGATTTAATGTTTGCTCTGCCGGGTTTTGGTCTTGCTTTGATTCCACTGGCTTCTACCTCCCGTATCCCTCACTTTTGGAATCAGAATCTTTACTGTGTGCCACTACATGTTCGCAGTGTTTAACTTTCACTTTTATGTTCATTTTTATAGGGGCTCACATCTCAGTGTTTACCGTAAATCTATCTCATAAGAAACATTGGACTTGGACTTTTTAGTGATGCTAGAACTCTTAACGCTTTGGGGACTCTTAGAGATGGACCAAATGCATGAGAGATATGCGTGCGTTTTAGAACCAGGCAACAGAATGTTATGGTTTATGCAGAGACGTCTCCTCAAAGCCTTATGCACTCACAGGTGGGGCCTGTGGAAGGTGGCTGGATTATGGGGGCTGCTGTGCCTGGCTTGGTGTTAGGAGCCGAGTCTGTTCAGAAGAGCAGGGTCACCTGGGGTGTGACTTGGAAGGGTCTGTCTCCCTCCTGGGCTCCTCCCTTCACGCCTGCTTCCCCTCCACCGTGATGGGAGTAGTTTTTCTCTGCCAGACTTTTCCACCGTGCTATATCTGCCTGGAGCCAGTTAACCACGCAAGGACCAAAACTTCTGAAACATGAGAAAAAAATAAACCCCTCCTCCTTTAAGTTGTGGAACTCAGGTATTATAACTCAGTGA